CATCGTCACTGCACACGCACACTGCCCCGTCCTAACTGTCCTTCGCCTTCTAACCTCCTAGGTGGCGCTGAGGACGCACCACGGCAAGTACGTATGCGCCGAGCAGAAGGACTACAAGGCTGTCGCCGACCGCTCAAAGGTTGATATTTGGGAGAAGTGGCAGATCATCACCGTAGCCACTGTGACCCACCACCCGGTGCACTACGCGCCGCCTCCTGCGTTTGGTGGCTACCCTCCGGCGCCCTCCAGCGGCTATCCTCCGCAGTCGGGCGGTTATCCTCCCCAGCAGGGGTACCCGCAGCAGGGCTACCCTCCCCCGTCAGGTGGCTATCCCCCACAGCAGGGCTACCCCACTGGCCTGAACCCGCCTGGCCAGTATCCCCCTGGCCACTACTAAGTCACTACTTTGGGCCTGTCAATTATAAACCATCAACACAATAACATTGTATCAATCTCCCTTTTTGTACTGGTTTGTTGTGTTGGGGCCATTTCATCACCAACTCCTTGGCAATCAAGTTAAATATCACACTCTGAACACTTCACTTACAACCAAGTGTTCATGAAAAGGGTCAGTGACCCTTTTTGCTTAGCACAAAAATCAAGCATCAGTACAAAGAAAGCTTGGGCATCATTTTCAGAAAATGTACAGAAGTGGAGGATGTTATTGAAGAAGGAATGACAAAGGCAGAATCCCTTTTTGTGTACAGATTTCCCATCCAACGCATGTCGAATTGCAATGTTGCTGAAATATGTGCATTTTAAGGTCTTTTCTGGCATTTTCTACACATTTTTTTGTTCACATTTCTCAGATTTTGATTGACCTGGTAGAAGTGTACTGATGACACCAGTCTGTTTCTGGAGGGTGTGCAGATACTGGTGTTACAGCCCTGACAATCTGTACATGCTGCCAGATAGTTAGTGAAAAAGAGGCACTGCCCTTTTTTGTGAACACTTGGTTTTACCCTCTTGCTATTTTTTGGTGCTGCTTGTACTGCATGCTTATCACACTTCAGCTCACAACTGCACCTCCATCTGTACACTTCCCAGTCACAGCCTTGTTTAGACCAGGCCACCAAACCAACTTCTCTTCTGCTGGGCAACAAATTTGTTCCTATTTTCAACTTTTGCCTACTTTTCCATGAAAACAGGGGAATGATCTGATCAGCTTCAAAATATTGAAATCAACATTAAATTCTGGTCCAGAGAGAGTGCACTTGTGGATATGGCAGATGAACAAACAAATCCAAATATTATCAGATTCAACCAAAGCCACCAGTCAGCCTTAGTGGCAATGTACCAGGCAGCCATGGCTGTCTAGTGTGAAACCAGAGCCAGCTTGGTCCCAGACCACCCAACACCAAGGCACAATGCCAACACCAAATCCAGTTCTGGACAGTCAGGCAGACAGGCTACCATTGGCAAGGAGCTCCTAATTGGCCTGCTGTGTAATCGAAATTTCGTCCTTTCAGGAAAGAGAACATGAGGTTTCGGGCTTTCGAAAATCCACCAACCCCAAGAGGCGTCCCCGACATCACGCCACAAAACGAAAAAAACTCGTTTGGCATCAGTACGCAGACGCACACCAGCCCAGCACAACAATGCACCACGGCCACCACCACCACCATCACGCCGTCACCATCTCCACCGGTACGCTCCCGCCCAAGACCACCGTGCACTGTTGTGGTACCCACCGCTGACGGGCGTGGTGCGCGTCACAGAGAGCAAGGTGCACCTCAAGTCGCACCACGGCAAGTTCCTCTGCGCCGAGCCCTCCGGCAAGGTCGTCGCCGACCGGTCGGACTGCAAGGAGTGGGAGACGTGGACCATGCGCACCACCAACGGCAGGGCCACCTTCCAATCGGCCCACGGCAAGTACCTCTGCGCCGAGGTAAAATTCGCCCCCCCCCCAACCTGAACCTCACCTCGCTCCTTTATCTCCTCATTGCCGTCTATTTTTATTTTATTTTTATTTTTTTTTATTTATATTGACAAGTATTGTTTCTTCCTTGAAAACAGCCGTCGGGCAAGCTGGTAGCCGACCGCTCCAGCCCCTCCGATTGGGAGCACTTCCACGTCGTCCACCAGGGCGCCCACGTACGCGCTTCGCTCTTCATTCTTTGCCTTCATTTTTACCCTTCGTCTCC